TTTCCAGATAAAATCGGGTCAGATCGACCTTTCTGGCGCCAGAAATCTTTCCCTTAAAAATAACGCTTTAACGTATTTCTGCTCCGACAAACTCAAGTTTGTGCCTAGCTTTACAAAACAATCGATGGTTTTTTTAATCTTAATCTGTGAGATTTAAATTTATTATTGAATTGTTTTGATTTTGCACGTTGATGCTGTCACAGCTGGTGGATAATATATGATTGTTTTAACGCAACAGAAGGACACTAGGGCATGATTACAGTTAGGAATGTTCATTGTATAATTTTATGACTTTATGATTTTGTGACTTTTTAATAAAAAGACAGTTTGGGGAAGAAGACTGCAGTCGCTCCTTCATTTACAAAACTTGTCATGTTTACAGGAGAAAGAAGAAGCAGGAAAAAAACATCATTTGTTACATTTGTTTCAACCAAGCTGAAACGTGTAACAATCAAAGCAACACTTCACCACACAGCTGTGACAAAGCTTGAGCCATCTTCGGGTTTGAATCAGGCCGGGATTAGGGTCAGGGTTAACCTAGGCTTGTGACCTTTGACTTGTGACCATGCATTGCATGGTAGGCACCTATTAATCTTCACCCAATAGAAAGTCTCTTATTTATTTATTTTTCTTCCGTCAACCGGAATGCGGCTCGTACCGCTGCGAGCCCACCCACAAAAGTGGTATCAAATTGTGCGGCTCGGCGCCGGGAGGGGTGCTATTACTTTGGTGGGATTCGCAGTTACGATAAAAAAGTAAAAAGCGAAACCATCAAAAATTCTTGTCAGTTAGAAACTGTCCAAACTAGAGTGTAATCAACGATTCGTTAGAGTGTGGGAAGCAGTGAGATTCTGACCCCAAATAAATTTTGAAATCGCCGTCACGACCACAAATATCGCCCTATCGGTATCAAACTCGGTCATGACATAGATACGCATGCCTGCTCCGGTAAAATGTTTTCAAATTTTCCTAGGGCTTACGGTTTTCTATCTAGGGCCTTCAGAGCGAAGTGATGCGACAGGATTTCGACTCGCTCAGCCAGGATCACTTCCATGTATTTCTGAAAAATGTCAGACCTCACACTTTAGATTTTTATCTCGTCGCTGTTATTACTGTGAGTGATGTACAGATATGAATAGCGGGACTATCGGAGACGAAAGATAGCCCTCTCATACGCTTCAAACGGTTTTCCGATACGTATCACGGTTTCCGAACGGGAAGGAGTTGTTCGGACCGCTTTTTCAGTCAAAACTGACTGGGTGTCTCACAAAGATAGAATTCTTTCTGTCTCACACATGACAGTTGCAGAGGATTAATTACCATAGCAACGAAGCACAGCAGGGCCGAGCAGCTAATTAGAACTACAAAAACGCATCACTGTAGTTTTTACTGTGGCAGAGCTCTGAGGAAGGAGCTGGCCTTTAGAATTATAAATTAGAACTACAAAAACGCATCACTGTAGTTTTTACTGTGGCAGAGCTCTGAGGAAGGAGCTGGCCTTTAGAATTAAATTAGAACTACAAAAACGCATCACTGTAGTTTTTACTGTGGCAGAGCTCTGAGGAAGGAGCTGGCCTTTAGAATTATAAATTAGAACTACAAAAACGCATCACTGTAGTTTTTTACTGTGGCAGAGCTCTGAGGAAGGAGCTGGCCTTTAGAATTATAAATTAGAACTACAAAAACGCATCACTGTAGTTTTTACTGTGGCAGAGCTCTGAGGAAGGAGCTGGCCTTTAGAATTATAAATTAGAACTACAAAAACGCATCACTGTAGTTTTTACTATGGCAGAGCTCTGAGGAAGGAGCTGGCCTTTAGAATTATAAATTAGAACTACAAAAAACGCATCACTGTAGTTTTTACTATGGCAGAGCTCTGAGGAAGGAGCTGGCCTTTAGAATTATAAATTAGAACTACAAAAACGCATCACTGTAGTTTTTACTATGGCAGAGCTCTGAGGAAGGAGCTGGCCTTTAGAATTATAAATTAGAACTACAAAAACGCATCATTGTAGTTTTTACTGTGGCAGAGCTCTGAGGAAGGAGCTGGCCTTTAGAATTATAAATTAGAACTACAAAAACGCATCACTGTAGTTTTTACTATGGCAGAGCTCTGAGGAAGGAGCTGGCCTTTAGAATTATAAATTAGAACTACAAATACGCATCACTGTAGTTTTTACTGTGGCAGAGCTCTGAGGAAGGAGCTGGCCTTTAGAATTATAAATTAGAACTACAAAAACGCATCATTGTAGTTTTTACTATGGCAGAGCTCTGAGGAAGGAGCTGGCCTTTAGAATTATAAATTAGAACTACAAAAACGCATCACTGTAGTTTTTACTATGGCAGAGCTCTGAGGAAGGAGCTGGCCTTTAGAATTATAAATTAGAACTACAAATACGCATCACTGTAGTTTTTACTATGGCATAGCTCTGAGGAAGGAGCTGGCCTTTAGAATTATAAATTAGAACTACAAATACGCATCATTGTAGTTTTTACTATGGCAGAGCTCTGAGGAAGGAGCTGGCCTGTAGAACTACTTGTGTTTTGGGGATTTTATAACTGATTTTAACCAATCTTTGCTACACATGGGATTAGTGTTAATTAAGTTTAATTAATCTTAATGAAATTAAGCTTAATGAAAATTTCAAAATAAAAGCCTTGACAATTTTTATATCAATTGCTGTTTGGAGCATTTTAGAACTGATTTAACACAATCACTGTTACTCATGTGAATAGATTGGACATTTAAACGAGGTGTACTGAAAATTTCAAAATAAAAGCCTTAAGATTCCTTCCTGGCAAATGCCTATTTTAGTGAAAATGGCTGCCTCAAACTGATAGAATTCTGTCTCCCCCTGTCTGACTCACAGCTGGCAGAGGATCCATTACCATAGCAACGGAGCACAGCAGGGCCAGATGGTTAGGACTACAAATACGCATCACTGTAGTTTTTACTATGGCAGAGCTTTGAGGAAGGTGTTGGCCTTTAGAACTACTTGTGTTTTGGGCATTTTATAACTGATTTTATCCAACCATTGTTACACACAGGATTAGTGTGGCAATTTTAAATTAAGCTGAATGAAAATTTCAAAATAAAAGCCCTGAGATTCTTTTATATCACGTAATTGCTCTCTTGGGCATTATGTGACTTTTTTATATACACCCTGTAAAACTTTGGATTATTTTGGACATTTAAAATGAAGCTTAATGAAAATTTCAAAATAAAAGTCTTAAGATTCCTTTCTGGCTCATGCCTATTTTAGTGAAAATGGCTGCCTCAAACTGATAGAATTCTGTCTCTACCTGTCTGACTCACAGCTGGCAGAGGATCCATTACCATAGCAATGGAACACAGCAGGGCCAGTGGTTAGGACTACAAAAACGCATCACTGTAGTTTTTATTATGGCAGAACTCTGAGGAAAAAGCTGGACTTTAGAACTGCCTGTGTTTTGGGCCTTTTATAACTCATTTTAACCAACCATTGTTACACATGGAATTAGTTTGGCAATTTTAAATTAAGCTTTAAACAAATTTCAAAATAAAAGTCTTGACAATTTTTATATTAAGTAAGTGCTTTTTTGACCATTATATGTCTGATTTAATTAAATCACTGTTGTACATGGTATTACATTGACCATATAAAATTAAGCATTCTGAAAATCTCAAAATAAAAGCCTTAAGATTCGTCTGTGGCTAATGCAGCACCGCGGGCGCTGCAATGATATTAGCTTGCATTATCTTTTCCTCTCAAGTTAGGGCACTGTCTTGCGCAGCAAGGTAGAGCATTAGCATTAGCCTTTTACCTTGCATGAGGTATTCGCTATTTCCCTTACTTAATGCAGTAAGTCATGCTTGTGACTCTCCACATGGTATTGATGACATTGCAGCTTTCTTTAGCATAGATGCTAATGTTTAGCATCAGAACGCTGGGTCCAAACTGACGGGCACACTTTGGCAGGCCCCGGTTAAATTTCTTCAGGAATTTTCTAGTTTAGAAGTTTATAATCAATGTGACACTTATTCACTGTTCACAACAATTTGAGAAATACTTTTTCTGATTTACATTCACAGCTTTCATGCTTCTTATCAGCAGTTTGCACTGCTAACTAAGTACTAACTTCATTTGTTTATTCTGTTGAAATAGAATTTTAAATGAGCACAATAGCACACAGGCTAGTCTTTACGTTAAGACAAACTTAGATAAAGATCCAAACTAAAACAACTGATCACTCTGAACTTATATAAATCCTATAGGGAGGATCTTAAAGAAAGACAGACTGAGACTTCCTTAACTCTCTTTAGACAGGGAGTCTGTCTGCCAGACAATTAACAAATTCCTAGTGTGGTTCAAAAGTTCACTAGGATCTTAAAACTTTTTATAAATAATTTTATCTATATTAGAATTAAATATATTTCTTTAAGCATGTTTTGAATTAGTTACTTATTAGATCCAAACTTATAGTCATTATTTAGCATTACATTTTGTGCAAGCTTGGTTAAAAATACAAACTACTTTCTTGTGGAATCATTTGAGGCAGAGATAACACTGCAGCTGCATGTCATAAATCACGGTCTGGCCAGGAGGCTGGTACGAGAAGAGCTGGGTGTTTCAGGAGGCCCCAGAGGTAATAAAATCAATGGGAAGGCCCACGAGGAAAAACACACCTCCTAATGCATATATTTACATTTAGAGAAAGGCACAGGCTTATAAAAGTTTTCGTTTGCAACAGAGAATTCAAATTGCTTTCTGCCCGAGTTCGCGATTCCCGGAAAAATGCATTTTCTGTTTTCTTTCTTTCAACTCATGCAATTATTTCTGTTTTGTCACGTCTTGGACTTTTGATAATCTGGGTGAGAAGCTTATTGTGACATTCTGTTTGCATTTGAATTCTCTGGATAAACTCTGGATATCTGCAGTCTGATGTGGTATGATTGCTCTTTCTCTCTGCACATATTGAGGCTCAAGAATCCAGGATCAGAGAATTAATGAGCTAAATCAAGTTATTCCTCTTTTAATTCTTAATAATTCCCATATGTCAATGTCACATGTGCTAAGACATGATGCCTTCCACTCACCAGCATCCAATTAGTCATTTCACTCCTGCCTGTACTTTGTACTTCTGTGAAGTGATTTTCTGGAACAGGCCTTTCATTCATGGCTTCATTTTCAGAGTTATTGAGTTTTGCCTAATTGACCATGGTCAGAAAGCATGCAGGGCATTCATAAACCTTAACCTGTTTACCTTAGAACTATAAACTGAACCACTACAGAACCTTTCACGGTACCACAGTCATGAATTCACACCACCAAACTTCTGGAACAAAACCTTGATTTTCAGATTTTCTCATTTTCATTAAGGTGAGATTTATATGAAAATGCAGGGACCTTAAAATCAAATTTAAATGTTAAAACCATTACATGTTCTATAATGATCATGGATATTTTATTTATTTATAGATTTTAGTCTGTATGATTATTGTTTTTTTTTCCTCATATAACCGTTTAATAACATTTTACATAACATATATGAACAATTCACATTCAACATTACACAACATAAAACAACAGAAGTACTTTTCCTGATTTGTCCATTTTTTCCTCTGTCTTTTGTCTTGAATATTGACCATTTTGTCCACTTTTCATCCATTTGTGCTTTCTGCAGTCTCAAATGATGTGTCAGTGTTCATAATGTAGATTTCTTCTGTTACTCCAGTCCATTGTTCATGGCAAGGGGTTCCACTGGTCCTCATTTCCTCGTAATACAGAAACCTAAGGCTAAGTGGGCTCCCCACATCATAATTCTCCCTCCACCAAACCTTACACTTTACACCCAATGGAGTCAAACAAATTATTTTCCTGCCAACTTTCAAAGGCAGGCTTAACCATCCTGAGTGTGTACACATGCATGTAAAAACATAAAGCCTACCCATCGAGGTGAAAAATATACAGAAAAACTAGTCCACACATCTTGTATTTTACTGACATTGTAGTGGATCGGACTACAACCATAAACCCTTAACGACTTATTAGAAATGGCCTAATGAAGGTTTTTCTGACAGTCTTTAGTCTCCATATTGTGGCTAATTTCATCCAGAGACTTGGATAATATAATGCAGACATCAAATCCGTGTCAGAGAGTTCCCAGATGACTGTTTAGCTCTTATTTCACTTTATTTTTATTTTACCCCAAATGTACTTCAAGATGGATGCAATTCCTTCATCTTCTTTTTTCTTTATTTCCTCTAGCTTTTCGGACTTCTTTGTGTCTCCATTTTCTTTCAACTTATCAATCAAGAAGTCCAAGTGGACAAATGTGGACACAGAATTAGCTTTGAGAGCAATCTGCTCCAGATTGACAACATGTTGGAAGCACTCATCAAGCAAATTAGACTTCTCTGCTTTCAGGTCTGTGATTTCATCCTCAAAACTTTCTATGAAGCTCAAACGTTTTGATCTTTTTCTTATGTCTTCCATATTCCTCTGAACTTTCCTTGTTTTTGTCACATATCTCCACTTTCCTTTCACATGAGTAGCTACAGGACATTTTGAAGAGCAAACAGTGCAGCGGCCATCTTTCATTACCTCACAGTCTTTGGGGAGTTTAGCACACCCGGAATAGTGACAGTTTTCCTCACAGAAAGTACAGCAAACTGCTCCTTTAATTAAAGTCATCAACCACATCTCTCCTTCAATCGCTTCTTTTTCTATGTATGCTTCATAAATTTCTACAGCAAACTTCTCCTTCTCCTTCTTTTCCTCATGTATCTCCAGAGCTTCTTTAATCTGTTTAGTTTCTGCCTCTTTCAGCTCAGACAGTCGGATCCTTTCCTGCAGGTTTTGGATGCAGGCGGACAGTCTGATCCGTTCATTGAGAACATCTAAAGTCATGTCTAGTTTTCGGGGTGCAGTTTTCTCCAGAAAGGCAGCAAAGCCACTCAGACCTTTCACTGCTATCTTGTCAGCATTTTTATAATGCTTTTCTTCTATCTGCTCTTCATGTCGGCAGTTATTGAAGAGGAAGTGAACAGGTTGTTCCTCCTCATCTTTGGCACATTTAATCTTGGCAGCATTGAGAGCTTGAAGCAAGACCCTTGGTTTTCTTCCATTGGAGTGAGTGACCAAAGCTACAATGTTTTTCTCTATGTCTTTCCCAAACTGAGACATCACTGACTCAAAGATGTACTTAAGTCGGTCACTCAGTCGATTCACGCTCGACTTTACTACCAGACCCACTGCATGAAGTTCTTTTATGCCATTTTTTGATTGAAACAATTGAAATAATCTTTCACTGACAACAACATCATATTCAATCCCTCTGGTGTCTCCAAATCCAGGAGTATCAATGATGGTCAGAGAGAAGGGCAGAGTTTTACCTTCAAAACCAAAGAGTTCGTACACAATCACATCTGATGTCTGGCTTTCTGTCTGACTCCTTTTCTCATCTTCTACGATCTGAAACCAGGCTTTATCTTCCAATGTCACTCCCATGGCGTAGTTGACCAGAGCGTTGATCAGAGTCGATTTCCCTGCCCCTGTTTCACCAACAAGCAGGATGGTTTTATTTGGTTTGTTGTGGTTTTTCTTACCAAAGGTCACTCTGGTTAGGGTGTCAACTGTCTTTTTTCTTGTTTTAAGCTGGTAGATAACTGAAGTTTCTGAGCTGATGACATCACTATTGGAGATTACATGTTGTATGGATGTGTTGTCAACCCTGTACAAAACAAAAATTAAGGTTAGCTTTTAGAGATAAAGATTTTAATTTGATGGAAAGCATGCAGAGATAAATCTTCAGTCTTGCCTTTTTCCAACTTTTACATTTCAACATGTTGGTAATGGAAAGAAAAAGACTTGTACTAAAGTAATTAAAACTAAACAGATAAAGACAATTTTATGAACTAAAGATAAAATGCTTTGTAATCTGTTGAGAATATAAGTTTGGTTAGCATAACTTTAAAGACAGTCAACCTTTGAGCATATGAAATATTAGATGTGGCATGAACATTTGGAGTAGACTTTACGTTAAGGTAAACTTAGATATAGATCCAAACTAAAACAACTGGTGACTCTCTGAACTCACATAAATTATTAAGTGGTTCTGCAGGCAGGGAGTCTGCCTGTTATCAGGATCAATAAATGTTTTGGTGTTTGTTCAAGTGTTCAGTAAAACAGTAAAACCTTTAAAAAACAATTCTGCTAGAAATATAATCAAATGTATTAAGAGATTTCCTTTAAGCATAAACAGCATGTTCTGAATTAGTCTCTAACCACACTATTTGCATGCATTTAATATTACTGAAATACAGTAGGATTAGGAAACTATTTTACTTCCAAATATTTCAGGTATTCTGAAAGAGCTTTTCTAAAAGTAGACAACCTTGCAGTTTTTAGATCCAAACTCAGTTATTATTTGGCATTAGATTTTTGTGCCAGTTTGTTTAAATTGAAATCAGTTTCTTGTTGAATCAATGAGGCAGAAATAACAGGCCTAGTGGCAGGTCATCAATTCTGGTCTGGGATGGGAGGAGATTGGTACGGGAAGACCCAGTTGAGGATGACCTTCGTTCTCTCCGTATATTTGCCTTTGGATTTTAGCAGGTCTCAAGCAGGGCAATAAAATTAACATCGGAGCAGCCCTCCAAGGGGAAGACACACCTTCTAATGCATATATTTAAATGAAGGGAATACACATTCTTATAAAATGGTCTGTTTTACAGAATTGCTTTGCGCCTGAGTGAGCAATTCCTAAAAATGCATTTTTGTCTTTCCTTTTCAACTTGTTGCAGGTAATTCTGTTTTGTCATGTGTGGGACTTGTTGATGATCTGGGTGTGATGCTGATCTAACATTCTGTATGCATTGAATTCTCTGGATAAAGCTCTAGATATATATAAAGTCTGATGTCGAATTATTGTTTCTTTATTTCCCCTGCACATGCAGAGTCCTGAATCTGGGAAACTAGAGAAAAATTAACGAGCAAAGTGAAGTTATTCTTCTGGTTTTAACAAATCCTAGAGTCAGTTACAACCCAAATTTCTCTAAAACATCAACCAGAAACAGAAAACAAACCAAGATGCATGTAAGATTAAGTCGTGCTCTATTTCCAAGGTGATATGTGTGAAGTGTTGAAATATGTTGATGAACTTTGGATTTTTTCCTTTAAGGTTCTGGTATTTTTGACCAGAATATGTCATTTAAAGTCTGTTTTGGACATGTTTCAAAATTTCCTTTTTCATCTCTGGAATATTGCTAAAATTAGAAACATCTTGTCCAGGAGTGATGCTGAAAAGGTAGTCCCTCCACTTCTTACTTCAAAGCTGGATTACTGCAAGTCTTTATACTCAGAAATCCACCAAATACGGTTAAAAACCATCAGCTGATCCAAAATGCTGCAGCAAGAGCTCTGATAAAAATTAAAAACAGACTTCATATTTTTGTATTTTAGTTTCCCTTCATTGGCTCCCTGTTAAATCTAGATTATAAACTCAGATTCTCCTTTTCACATATGGAGCCTTTGATAATTACTTCAATCAGAGATCTGATTGGTCTAGATCAGGGCTGTCTAACTCCAGTCCTCAAGGTGTCCTACAGTTTTTCGATGTGCCACAGGTACAAAACACAAGAATGAAATGGCTTAATTACCTCCTCCTTGTTCTCCAGAGTCTTGCTAATGACCTATTATTCTATTCAGGTGCAGCAGAGGCACATCTAAAAGTTGGAGGACACCGGCCCTCGAGGACTGGATGTTGACACCCCTGGTCTAGATGTTCCCAACAGAGCACTTCACTCTCAGGCTGCTGTTTACTGACGCTTATTATTGGAGGCCAATTTATTGCCATCTAGATCAAGTGATTGACTATGCAACTTATTCTCCCAAAGCTCTCATCCAAAAACAACTTTTGTCTTGTCCAAATTCAAAAGAATAAAGTTTAGAGTCATTCAGGTTTTAATGTCCTCCAGATGTGCCTGTAATCTACTTAAGGGATCGGATTAGAAAGCAAACACAGACTCAAGTGTGTTTTTACTAATGGGATTGATTGGAAATGTTTAACAATAACCTTTAACCTACAATTAAACATGCATTTCAGACAATAAAAGATGTTTACACATTAAAAGCTAAACTGTGATCACTAATCTTAACCATGCCATTTTCTATGAACAGACAGTGAGGATCTTGTGAAGGATAAAGCTGCTCTGTTAAACATGTTCTTAAATAAAATCTAATGAATGTTGGCTGGACCTACCTGCATCCAATGACTGATTTGGCTCCTCCATCCATTTGGCTGTCGATCATTTCTAATTTATGGACCTTCTCTGTTTCTCCATCATCCTTTAGCTTCTTGATCAGGAAGTCCAAATTGATATATGTGGAAACTGAATTCACTTTGAGGAGAGTGGATCCATCTGATGGCACATTGATAAGACTTTCTATCAAAGTTTTCTTCTTTCTGTTCAGGTTTTCCATTTCCTGTACTAGAGTTTCTGTAAGTTTTGTCTCCTTTGTGTCTGAATTGCTCTTGAAATGTCTTTGTTTTAATTCCTCCTTGGTTCTCTGAACTTTTCTCGTCTTGGTCACATACCTCCAGTTGCCTTTAACATGTTTTGATGCAGAACATCTCCCAGAGCAAACAGTGCAGGATGCTAAATTCATGACCTCGCAGTCTTCAGGGCTCAGGGCCATCGTACATCCAGGATAGTGACAGTTCTCCTCACAGACGCTGCAGCAAACAGCGGCTTTAAAGAATGACGTCTCACCTTCAATGAGTTCCTTATCTCTGTAGGTTTCATCTACCTCCACAATTAATTTCTTGCTTAACCTCATCTCTGCTTTGTGTTTCTTCATAGCTTCTTGAATCTGTTTGATTTCTCTCTGTTCCAGTTCAGTTAGTTTGATTTTCTCTTGCAGGTTTTGGATGGAGGCTGTCAGTCTGATGAATGAGTTGAAGCTGACTGATACCTGCAGCTGCTGAGCTGAGACCTTTTGAAGAAAAGCTGTGAAACTGCCTCATTCCCGTCTCTGTCAGTCTCCATGCCTCTTCCAGATCTGTGCTCGTTTCTCTGTTCGGGCCTCATACTGACGATTATTGAATATGAAGTAAGGACATTGACTTCCTCCAGCCTGAAGACCCTTGAGAGAAATGCTAGGTGGTGTTGTACCTGAGTGAGTAATGAGTGCCACTGTGTTTTTCTCCAAGCGTTTTCCAAACAGAGACATCACTGAATCAGAGACGTATGACAGTTGGTCACTCATTTTTGTTTCTGTTGCTTTCATCACTACGCCAACCGCATGAACCCGTGGATCCCGTCTTCTAACCGAAACAAGTCAAACAATCTCTGATTGATGATGACATCATGCTGAAGTCCATCTGTGTCTCTATAACCAGGCGTGTCGACGATGGTGAGAGAGAGTAGGGCCAAGTTTTATTCTCAGAATCAAATATCTCATACATGATCACATCTGATGTTGGACTTTGACCTCCATCTTCTGCGATCCGATACCAGACCTCATCCTGCCACCTCACTCCCATGGTGTAGTTGATCAGAGCGTTGATCAGAGCAGACTTTCCTGCTCCTTTTGCACCAACAAGTAAAATGATTTTATTTGGTTTGTTCAGTTGTTTTCTACCAACGGGTGACTCTGGTCACTGTCCAAAGTTAGTTTTTGTGGTTTCCTTTTGGTAGATGGCAGGACATCCTGAGCAGTTTGGTGCCCTGTGGGATTAGGCTTTGCTTAGAAACATATATTGCATGCATTGAACATTGACAGTATGTTAGTTTTTCTGACAGACAATTTTTATCATTGATTTTTTAAAAATAATAATAATAAATATGTTATCTCCAGAGTTATTTGTTCCTTCCTCCGAACATTCAGAGACCTTCAGCTTTCCCAACTCCATCAGAGGTCGCCACAGAACCGTCTGCTCACCTCCACCTTTTTTTGTGATGTCACTTCCACTCATCCAGAGAAATTCTTGGATGAGGGTTAGGGTTAGAATTTTCTCTTAAATTCTGGGTTTAAGGCTTTGTGATGGGCCAAAAAAACTGCTTTCAAAAATACCCAGTTTTTGACTGGAGACACAAACAAGTCTGCTCTTGGCAGCTGGTTGTGGAAGATTTTACAAGATCAGAAGATCCTACAAGGTGATGTTGGGGAGTGAAAAAGCGGCTCATAAAAATAACCATATAATCAAACTGGACTCTGCTTATGTCTGTTTTATTTGGGCCAACATTGGAGAGTTCTGGGTGCACCTTAACTGTAACATAATGTATTGTCAATATCTTAAGTGACAACACATTCATTGGTTGCCACTGTAAATGTGTGGGTTAATCCAGAGGGTCCCCCTGTAGATGTACAAAACCTTCTCTGATTTATCCCATCGATTTTCATTACTCTGATCTTTCATCAAAATTAATATTGAATGCCCAGCAGCTTCTGCAGATCACTCATAAAGCAAATACCATCACCCAGTGATCTCTTCTGCTTTCGAACCAGTAGTGCCACTTTGTTCACTAAATTAGACCTTTGCAGTGTCTGTCACCTTGTCCGCATCTGACAACAGGATGAGTGAAAGATGACCTTCCAGAACGCCATTCAAATTATTCAATAATTTTGAATATTACTGAATATTCAGGCCCTGTATTGTAGGCCCTGGTAGAGTGGAGTTCAGTTGCTACAGTCACAAGATAATTTTGTTTGATTTTAGTGTTGAGTGATAGCTTTCGAGTATCTCTTTAAAGACTTCGTAAGAAACGTGAAGTCAAGTTTTTCATCATTTACATTCTGCCCTCCCAACAGAGGTTTCTCCACTGAGGTCTATTCTTACCAGACACAACAGTCATTTTAATGGGAGTAGTGGAAATAATGATCTCATATCTTACAGTGGAAATTTTCTACTGATTCACATAAAAGGCATAAATAAGATATAAATATTTTAAGTTTAATTCAATGTAAATTTTTTTAAATATACAAATATGATTAATTTTGTTCCCAGGTAGTAGAATATATCTGTGAATGTTGTTGGTACTCACGTTCTGTCCATTGTGCAGTCTGCAGTGGGAACTAGCTAAGGTCTCTCAGATGTTCAAGAACCTGGATAATAAGTAAAAAACAAAAAGCCAAAGTCTTTCCAGGTTAACATGGAATGAAATGACCATTTTTAATTCTCATTTTGACACAGAATATCAACAGTATGTCCACTAAATCTGTTTAAAGTCAAAGATTGATTGTGTATCAAAGTTGAGTTCTTATCTTCAGGCTCCTACACAACATTTAACCCCTGTGTGTCTCATATGTAACAATCAATTTATCAACCTAACAAGTCTTATGTTCATATCTTGGACTGAGGCTTAAAATGTTGTAGCATCTTTCCTTAGAAGGATGTACTGGCTTATATGAGATTTGGTAGTGAAGCACTATATGATTCAGAGGGAGAAGGCTTATGAGAAGGTCTCTGGTTAGTTGACTCCAAAATCAGGCTTTCATTAATATATGCTGACATGTTTGCAGAAAGAGTCATGCTAAGGATGTCCAGAGGGGCAATATCCTCAAAATCAAACACTGGTGGAAAAATATAGATTGTTTATATTACATCCATTGTCTGAACACCTTAATGGAGTGGCGAGGGCTGCTGGTGTCTGGTTACAGGTGAGGCCACCCTGTATACACCTGTACAGGTCCCTGATTCTGCAGAAAGTTGTGCCAGTCATTAAGGAAGAACTGCTTCTGACTCACATAGCAAGCACTTTTATAGTTCACAATGAAACAATTAGTTTCTTTTTAATCTTTCAACATTGTCAATAGTAGTCTATTTTAAATGGAAACATTTCACTCTTGTATTATTTTTAATATTCATTTACATTTTAAAACATGACAAGATCAAAGGATAGAGCATAACTTTACAGCTTCATGCTTTGCAGAACAAGAATATACACAAAAATATTACATCATATTAATATATACTGCAAACAAGACAAACGTGGCAGTTTATCTTGTTAGAAAAGCAGCATTAACCTGTTTACTGCTGACAGGATAATGTGTGAAATATCATTTCATGGTAGTTATTGTTATGCTGAGGCAAATCTTTGTTCCTATGCTTTGGACTGAGTGTGAATTAAATTGTATTTAATTGCACAGAGAGAAGCTTGTAGCCAAAGTTTTAATCATTAATCATATTTGGATGGAAAACTATTAAAGTGTTCTGCATACAGAACCTGGAAATACAGTTTGGAGGACAAATCAAATGAAATCTATAAATGTATGTTTAAGCTGCAAGCAATACCGAGAGGAGCAAATCCTCGTCCAAGATGCTGAAGGAATGTGTGAATGATGTAAGCAAAAATATTTCAAAGAAATGCCCATGCTGCAACATAAAAAATGTCATTTGAAATATGTGACATAAAGCCATACCTCTAAGATCAGGAAGGTTTCTGCAGTTGAGGTCCATGGCAGTTTTGCTGAAGATGGAGACAGAAACACATCAGCATGTTTTCTTTCTGAAAGAAATGATCTCTAGATGATCAGGACTGTCTTGATGTTTGAGTTTAACCATGCATCATATCAGAAAACTAGTTTGACATGATTTAGGAATTTAAATTAATCTTTTGAAGAGGATATTTATGGTGTTCTTACTTCTGATGGGATTAGCAAGGAAGAGCAAACATGGGCTGAATTACCAGCCTTTATACCAGTGGAGGAGGAGCAACGGGTCACATAACCTCACACAAACTAATCAGCTTGACCTTAAAAAATGAGTGAAAAACAATTCAGGACAGAAAAGGTTTAGATTCAATTCATGTAGTTGACATTCCAGAAGGTAAAGTTTTCATTTCAAAGGAAAATGACAGAGAAAACATATTGCTTATTTAAAACTTTTATTGTGAGTTTGCTCCAGCAAAACCCAAATATTTTATTAAAGTACTAAATTTTGTACTTTTTCTTCACTACTTCATTTTTAATAACTACATTATTATTTCTTGTTGTAAAATTTTTCTTCTGTTGCCACTCACTCACTGATCTGGTTCAGCATGTTTAGCATGAAAAGGTTCGCAGGTGTCACTCAGATTGTCTTTAAGGTCTTAAATGTCAATAAGAGTGAAGGTCAGATATGTGTTCAGTGTTTTGTAAACTGTAGTGAGATTTTAAATTCTATTCTCCGAGCAACTGATAGTGCGAGGAAAACGATATTATATTGAATCAAATACAAGGTCACACATTGACATCTATTCATTTTTAGTTTCTGCATTTATACCTCACTCTACTGTTTATAAAATACAACAAATCAAGAGCTGCTGACTTGGATGTAATCAAATGCTCACTGTGGGTGTATTAAGGCAAAATATTTTATCTGGTTGATAAAAGACTAAAATTGTTTTCTCTCTTGTTATTTCTGCTTCAATAATATTTACTAACAGAAGAGCAGTTCTTGAAATCCAAACATCTTCTAAACATGTTGTTCAGCAGGAAATGGATTTGTTTTTGTAGCTCTATTGTGTGAAGGGGGAACTGAGAGACTAAATCAAGTAGGAACACATTCCGTACATGCTGCCAAAATCAGCCCCTATTCAAACACCTTTTCCTCCCAGGGTTATTTACATCAGAGACATTGCGGCATGCATGAGAACTTTGGTTTCTGACAGTAACATACGTAGTTTCCAGAACACACTAATGCCTGGAACAAGAAAACCTGTTAAAAGCACATTTTATTGAGATTTGACCAAAAACTGGAATATTCAAAAACAATTGGCATTTTTCTAAGACTAGTCAACAGAAGAATATTTCTGTTCTTCTGTTGACTAGTGATAATAAAAGAAAAATCTTTCTGTTAATAACAACTTAACCTCTTAACTGTTGAGCAGTTTTGTCTTTATTTCCTCTGGGACTTTGATGGTTTTCTTGATTTTAAAGAGAGAAGTTGTCATTTTTGGACCAAAACTTCTGAAAGAGAAACTTTCTTCATGAATTACTGGATGTCGATGACACTGAAGTGTCAGCAAATGTCTAAAAGGTTCTTCTGCAACTGGAATGTGTCCGATACTTGGTTTTATGCTTTTTTGAGCATTGTTTTCAGCACATATTTCACACTGGCTTAGAATTTTATCCACCATGTCTTGCATGTGTAGAGACCAGTAACCTTGTTCTTTTCAATTTTTCCATAACTTTTCCTTGGGCACAATGGTCTAAGCCATGGGCTTCTGAGACCCTCAATGTTAATAGTAATGCCATCAGGAGGCATTTGTGTGACCTTCATAAGCCATTTTCACTCATCATAGCACCTCTGCGTATCCAAAGATCATGTTCAAATCAAATCAAATTTTATTTATAGCACATTTCAGCAGCAAGGCACTTTAAAGTGCTTTACATCATAAACACAAGTCATGCAACATATAATAGACAATACATTGTTACATATTACATTTCAAATCTAAAAGAAGTCAGGGTTTCCGCTGTTTTACAGTTTTCTGGAAGTTTGTTCCAGATGTTTGGTGCATAGATGCTGAAAGCTGCTTCTCCTCTTTTGGTTCTGGTTCTGGGGATGCAGATCAGAACCAGAACCAGAACCTGAGAGTCTGGAAGGTTGATACAACAACAGCAGATCTTTGATGTATTGTGGTGCTAAACCGTTCAGTGATTTATAAACTAACAACAGTATTTTAAAATCTATTCTTTGAGCTACAGGGAGCCAGTGGAGGGACTTTAAAACTGCTGTTATGTCTCTATCTTCCTGGTTCTAGTGAGAACAGGAGCAGCAGCTTCTGGATCAGCTGGAGGATTGATTTTGTTGGACAGGCCTGTGAAGACGCTGTTACAATAATCAATGCGACTAAAGATAAACGCATGAATGAGTTTCTCTAGATCTGGCTGAGACATTAGTCCTCTAATCCTGGAGATGTTCTTCAGGTCCAAGGTCTTTTTTATTTTTATTTGCAAGCAATGTTGTGTGTGGTACAGCATCTGCAACATTGTACCATTGAGAAATCAAATCATGAATCTCTACATTGATCGCGTCTCTGTCAGGTTCGTGTTTTTCTGTGTTTAATTCTGAGTTTCTGTGTCCTGTCTCCTCGTTGTCCTGTCTTCCCCTTGATTGTTCCCAGGTGTGTCTTATTCCCTTGATTACCCTCAGTGTATTTAGTCCCTCCTGTGTCCTCTGTTCCTCGTCGGGTCCTTGTCGTACTTTTGTTGTTTAGTCAGATTGTCGTTGTTGTTTTTTGTGCCGCCCTTAAGACCAGTTGCTACCGGTGTGAGCCCTGGCTTCTGCTCAGCCGTGCTGCCTGGCCGCGGACTACTGTTTGGACTGTTTTTGTGGATTATTTTTTATTAAATTACTCGCCATTCAACTTACCTGGGTCTCTAGCGTCTGCCTCACCACCTCCACCACCTCACTTTATGACAGTCTCCTTGTCTCCCACCAACAATGTATTGGGACAGGTGGTTCACTGATTCACCTTGTGTCTCTTTATCCCATTGTTCTTCAAACTGAGCTTTTTGAAATGTCAGTACATTGTGCAATGATAATCCAGAAATGTTTTTTTTAGCTTCATGAATTTGTATTTGAGTGTACTGACCCCATTTAGAAATTACTTCTTCAATCGAGTTATTTATGTCTCCAAGCCAATAAACTTCAGCTTCATGTTGTTGCATGTACATTTGAAGATCCTTTTTCAACATACACACCTTGAGAACACCAGATTTTTATTTTTAATTTGCTTAGAGCATCTCTTCCTAGCAGATTAATTTGTGTTTGATCAGATACCAAAGTTGGTATTTTTATTTCACTGTTATTTGCTGCAAGTCGAACAGGAGCTGTCATTTGGATTAATTGTCTTGTTCCCGAGAACCCTACAGTTGATACAAATTTATCAGACATGGGGAGATGCATTGCATGATTTGGACATATACAAGTGTAAGCTGCTCCGGTATCGACAGTCATTGGAAATTCTGTGAAATCTGCTGTGAATTGTTGCTATAGAAATAAACTGAAATGAACAGGTGAATTCATCGCCCTGATCTTCAACTGTTTGGTTGATTACACAGGAAAAACTGTCTTCTCTGATGTTTGCCGTTTTCATTTCCATCAACATTATGTTAAATCCAAAAGGCTTCTTGGAAATCCAAACATCTTCTAAACATGTTGTTCAGCAGGAAATGGATTTGTTTTTGTAGCTCTATTGTGTGAAGGGGGAACTGAGAGACTAAATCAAGTAGGAACACATTCCGTACATGCTGCCAAAATCAGCCCCTATTCAAACACCTTTTCCTCCCAGGGTTATTTACATCAGAGACATTGCGGCATGCATGAGAACTTTGGTTTCTGACAGTAACATACGTAGTTTCCAGAACACACTAATGCCTGGAACAAGAAAACCTGTTAAAAGCACATTTTATTGGGATTTGACCAAAAACTGGAATATTCAAAAACAATTGGCATTTTTCTAAGACTAGTCAACAGAAGAATATTTCTGTTCTTCTGTTGACTAGTGATAATAAAAGAAAAATCTTTCTGTTAATAACAACTTAACCTCTTAACTGTTGAGCAGTTTTGTCTTTATTTCCTCTGGGACTTTGATGGTTTTCTTGATTTTAAAGAGAGAAGTTGTCATTTTGGACCAAAACTTCTGAAAGAGAAACTTTCTTCATGAATTACTGGATGTCGATGACACTGAAGTGTCAGCAAATGTCTAAAAGGTTCTTCTGCAACTGGAATGTGTCCGATACTTGGTTTTATGCTTTTTGAGCATTGTTTTCAGCACATATTTTACACTGGCTTAGAATTTTATCCACCATGTCTTGCATGTGTAGAGACCAGTAACCTTGTTCTAACTAGAACTACAATCAACTGGGTCTAAACCAGTGTTGCAAGTCGACAGCTCAGTGAAATCTGCTGTGAATTGTTGCTATAGAAATAAACTGAAATGAACAGGTGAATTCATCGCCCTGATCTTCAACTGTTTGGTTGATTACACAGAAAAAACTGTCTTCTCTGATGTTTGCTGTTTCCATTTGTCAGTCAGATTAATATTGTGTCAAATCCAATGTTGCTCAGCAGGAAATGGATTTGTTTCTACAGTCTGAAGGGAAACCAAGACATTATTTTAGCACATCCACATGTTTACAGAAAACCAAGTAGGAAAACATGCCATAAGTATGTCGCGTCAAAGGTTAAGTTGTTGTTCCTTGGAAATGGTAAAAGAAATTATTGATTATGTGACCAAATAGGAGGACAGCATTGTTTAATGACGTTTGTGAAGGTAGGAAGCTGGTGGTTCATTGGTTGGGCTGTTTCAGATTCATCCCCATCAGAATGACAAACACTGATAACAAACCAAACCGTTTCCTAAAATCTGCCTCTTCCTACATTCTGTACAAATTTTCATAGTTTTAAGGAAATATGTCATTTTCAAATCTGATCCAGATTTTTTAAAATGTTGGGTTCGGCTGAAAGGTTCAGCCGAACCCGACTGCTCACCAGTAGTCCAATAACCTTTAATGCTAACTCTACTAAGCAGCTCTTTGTAGTTGGAGCTTTTTTACATTTGTCCAAAACTATGTGTGTATCTTTCATGTTAGTTTTTCATCTCACCACATTCCTAAAAACTTAAAACATTTTATTTAATTCTTGATTTTCCAGTTTAATTTACTT